GGTAGAGAGACAGGATTTTCAGAACTCCTTACTCCTGTCCATCGGCCCATCACAGGCCAGGCCCAACTGGTTTGGAGGGTTCTCAGGAGGTGGCAAGGCCAGTGGGATGTTTTTGTCCCAAAGGTAGAGGGAGGACAGAAGGGGGTTAGACACAGGGAGATCAGACAGGTGTCCCATTTTCCCTGTCCGGGGAGCAGAGGGGAGTCCTGGGCCCCACTTTCTGATTAGCTCCGGTGTCTCTTCTTCTTCTCAAAAGGACACCAGTTCTGTGGGAAGGACCCCCGCCTTATGACCCCAGCCTATTTTATTGGGGGTGGGGTGGGGACACAATTCAGTACACAAGCATTTTCTTTTCGTTCTAGAACTTCTCCATCCCAAGTGGAAACCCCAAGCTCGTGAGTCATCACTACCCATTACCCTCTCCCCCAGCCCCTGGCATCTGCTTTCTTTCTCTATAGATTTGCCTGTTCTAGACATGCCATGTAAATGGAATCATACCACGCATGCCCTTTGGATCTGGCCGCCTTCACTTTGCATCATGTTTGCAAGGGTCACCCACGAGTTAGAGCTACCATTTAAGCTAATTTGTAGAGACACGGAGAACGCAGGGAACTGGGCTGAGTTCACGAGGCTGTTGAGTGGGGTCTCCTCTTAGAGCTGTGAGGGCAGGGCCCAGGCTGTGCCACCCCCACCCCACCCAGGGCATCTCCTGCGTGAACACTGGAGTCTGGGACACGGAAGGGCACTCAGCACGGACAAGGGATCCATGAGCAGGTGACCTCCCTTCTTAGGGCACACCCCTCCAGACTGGGGAAAGAGAACGCTGCCTTGCCAGCAGGCCGCTTGGGGGGCTCGAGGGGGCTCAGCAGGGTGAATGCACTTTGCCACCTACAGCAGGCTGTGGGAATGCCCAGCAGCCCAGGCAGCTGCGGGCTGAGGTCACCAGGCCTGGGTCTCCGCGCACCGTGAGGGGCTATGGCACCATCTGGTGGCTAGAAGAAAACCCGCCGCGAAGCAGCCCAGGACCGCCCACAGATTAACTTGTAAATTGAAGGGAAGAGGAGCTTGTTTGTGGAGCACCGGCCACCCGCCCAGGACCGCGCTGCACCCTTCGCAAACATCCTCAAGCTGGGGGCAAGCGCCATGGGAATATCAGACACGGGTTCAGGGCGCTGACGGCAATGCATGTCTTTGTGACAAGGGAAGAGGCTGGGACAATCTGCAATGTGAAGAGGCAGAGGAGTAGGCATGGTTACAAGCCGATTAAGGAAATGTCTAAGTGGCTAGATTTATTTGAATCTGAGCGCACAGGGAAATGGCTGCAGGGAAACGAGCCAGGGTGTACACACAGAATGTGGAAGGGGTACTGAGCCAGGGCGCACGAAGGCTTGAGCGGTCTCAGCAGGTGTTAGCTGCTGTTGTCAGGACAGGATCAGATTCTTCATCATCCTCATCCTCATCCTCATCATCCCTGGCTGATGGAATTATTTTTCCCTTTTACTTGTACGTATTTTCTGATTTTTCTCTGCTGCCTATGGTACTCAAACAAAAGAAAAAACTAAAACAGAGGACGGGAGCCATTCGCCCCCGCAGAGAGATGGGCTATGAGTTTCACGAATATCGTGGCAGGAGGTTCTCTCCATGCCCGTCAAGGACCTGGCAGGCGAGCCCCGCATGCCAGGCTGGGTCTGATCCCGACTCTGGTCTCTTGCCACCCAGCAGCCCTGGGACACACGGGCCTGAGCCCTCAGGGGGTCACTTCCCTCATCTGTAAATGGAGGGATGGCAGGACCGACCTCCCAGGTGATGGAGTTTACACGAGCTGACTCTGGTAAAGCATGTACCGTCGTGCCTGGTGCACAGTAAACACGATGCGTCTTTGCAGCTGTAAACCAGGCAAACCGCCTCCCATCTCAGAGAATCAATCCAGCGAGGGATGTGGACAAGACCAGGGTTTCTGCGGGTCCTGTCCTTACACCTTACACCTAACACCTTCCTCAGAGCCATCTGGGAAACTCGCTGAAAGGCAGACTCCTAGGCCTTGCCTAGAATTTCCAAATCTGCACTGTCAGCAGATTTCACAGGGGAAAACTGCCAGCTGAGCTCACGGGAAGTTGAGACCCATGGAAACAGTATATCATTTCTAAGGTCCCTTCCAGCTTAGACATTCTAAGATGCTGGGTTCTTCTGGAGACCTGCCCAATCTCTTGACCTCTGCACCCCAATTTTGTAACAGGAAAGGCAGTTCAGGAAAGGCCCTGGCAGGCTGTTTTCAGAGAATCAGAAAGCACAAAAGCTGGAGAGGCTCATGCCCTAACAGTCAGGACACGGACGCCAGAGTGGGGAGGGCGCTTATTCTTGCTGTGGGTGGCCCAGGCTCTGTGCACGCCACAAAATCAAGGCCTGTCCCTGTCAGATAATTTGCTATCCAAGCACACATTCACACGCTGCTGAGCCTTTTCACCGCTTCTAAGTTTCTCCTTATTACAGTTCAGGCTTTGGGGCAGAATGATAAGGGGAGAAAGGGAAGCGACAGGAAATAAGAATCAAAAGAACTTTGAAATTAATTTTTCCCTAGAGTTTTATTCTACAGGAACAAATTCCTATCTTTGCCCAGCAGATTTATTCAAGGGGAGCACCCTGAGCCTAGGCACGTCTTACTCTCCGAGCCTCCGCAAACCCAGTACCTGGGGAGGGAGCAGCGCCATACCGGAGGAGCTCCATAAATGTTTATGGACGCGGGGCAACTCTGAGGGTTTTTAGTCTGAGCAACGGGAAGAATGAGGCTGCTGTTTAATGAGGTCAGTAGGAATAGAGGGGAGGAGAGGCTATGTTTGGCAAGTTTTCAGTCTGAGTGGCCTACTGGACATTCAGATGAGGATGATGGGGGAGGCTGCTGGGTGTCCGATTCTAGAAGCCTGGGGAGGCCCTGGAGGACACGAGTTTGGGAGTCGTGAGCAAATAGCACTTAAGCACTCATTAGACGTGAGGAGATGGCCTAGGGAGGCAGCAAGGACAGGGAGGGGTCTGGGCCTGGGCCCTGAGGTACCCCAGCTTTCAAGTGTGAACTGATGAGAGGGGAGAAGGGGTCTCAGACTGAGCAGCCAGTGAGTTGATGGGAATCTAGAGAGATTGACCCTCTGGGACGTCCTGATGCTTGTCCCATGGAGGAAGGAGGCATCGATTCACTGCTGGACTTCAGTCCTGCCCAGGAGTCAGTTAAGGTGGGGACCCCTGGGCGAGCAATGGGGACCCGGACATGACTTGTTTCAGTGGAGGAGTGGGGACAAAAGTTATCTGATTGAACAGGGTTCTAGAGAGAAAAGAAAATAAGAAGATCTATCCAGGAGGCCCAATATTTTGCCTAAAGGTATTCTAAGAACATTCTCTTGACAATCATTTGCTGAGCATCACCAAGTGCCAGGCATTGTCCTGGGCTCAGGGGAGACAGCAGTGGACAAGAGACAAAAGTCCAGGGAGCTCACATCCGGATGAGGAAACCAATACAACAGATAGTAGATCAGGCAGTGGTTAAGTCCTAAGGAGAAAAACAGAACTGGAAGGTCAGGACAGGGGGGGTGGTATGGAGGGTTGCAGTTTTAGACGGGGGTGCAATCTACAGGCACAGACCAGAGAGGCTGGTAGGGGCGGGGCAGGTTCCTATTTGCTTCTACCTTCTCAGAGGAAAAGGAAGCAAGATCATGAGCAAGACAATGGGGCAAGGGGGTGTGGAGGCTGGAGAGGACCATGAAGACCACGGAGCAGAGTCACCAAAGGCAGCACGGGGTCTAGATCAGCAAGGAAGGCTGTGAGGCGGCCCAAGTCACTGGAAGTGAGCTGCAGTAGAAAGCAGAGAAGGGCTGTTTCTCATCAGCCGGGCTCAGACACCCGCATGCGGGAGGAGGGCAGGGTTGGAGGCTGCCCAGATAACTCTGGTAAGGAGGCTGGGGGGTGGATTCTGGTGTGAGGGGCCACGGGTTTAGCCTGGGAAGGAGGTGGACAGGGACACGAGGGGTGGCAGGGGCAGTGGACAGATGAGTGGATCGCTGGACTGGAGGTCCTAGGGGATGAGGGCTGTTGGGCCCGGGACACCAGAGGGAGATGTGGAGGACAAGTGGAGGGAGAGAGACCCCCGCTCGTGCAGCTACCGCAGTTCAAGCTGACTCCCAGGCACACCTGTGAGCAGGTTCCCAGCCTGACCGGCCGCATGTCCCCGAGCAGGCAGCTGTGTCCACGCGAACCGAGTTCCCCCATCTGTAAGACGGGGCTACTACACGCTTGCTGCTCCAGACCTGTAAGGCTGCAGGGCCGATCATGGCCGGGGAAACCGGAGGCGAACCCGAGTCTGACCTCTAAGTGGACGTTCCACTCTGCAACCGTGCTGCTTTCCCCTAAAAATGCTCACCCGCCCGCTCCTCTCATTGCTGGTACTCTACTTCGGAGTCCCAGCGGACACAGAAGACACGCCGTCTTCATAGTCCTCTCCAGCCTGCACCGTGGTCCTTTGTGCAAGCATTTCACGGGCAAGTGACTTGCGTTGTGCCACACGGGGACCTACATTTACATCAAAGTACTTGAGCTCACTTGACAGTCTGGGGACAGCCCCACGCACGCCCCTTGTTCTGTCACACAGAGGCCAGCGGGTCTGCTGGGCAGGCGGGCAGGAGGTATGCACGCGGGAAGCCACGTCAAGCCACTGAAACCTGGGCAGGTACGTGCCAGGGGGTGATGGGGTCACTTGCGCCTTATACGGGTGCTACGAGATTTCTTCCGCAGACTGTAGAAGAGAAAACCCAGAGGAGATTCTGAGAGGTTGAGGAGCTTGCCCGGGACCTAATCAGTACGCGGCAGCCAGGGCTTCTGAAGCCCACTGTCCCGGGTGGCTGACCTGAACCCGGGACTCACCCTGGCAAGGTGAGCCCTTCCTTGTTGATAGTTATTTTACCACTACGGTCTTTAAATTAAATTAATGAGAATGCTGGAGGAAACACATTATCTAGAAAGTCAAGTTTCATTTATTCAAATTAAATTATAACATGAGTTTCATATACAAATAAACTTTTTGTGTAAATAAAAATACAAAACAGTACAAATTCCAATCATGTAAAAATGCAAACATATTTGTGTTACTATATATAGCTTTCTCCGTTTAATGTGACTGAGACGTACAGTAGCTGACCCCACGCGTGCACGCCGTGGTGCCGGCGAAGGTCAGTGGGATGGTTTCCCAGGCTATCCGCTCCTCCAGTCCCCCGTCTGCGTGCACGGGGAGCCTGTGGGCCTTCTTCCCTGATCCTGAGGCTCCGGAAGCTTCCAGTAATCAGTCACCACCAGCACAGAAATGGTCAAACTATTCTCAGGCCGGTGAGAAAGGGCCACCACGGAGAAAACGCTCTCTCCCGAAGCACGGACGCCGCTCCACTGGGCTTCAGAAAGGCTCTGAGGCTGGGAAATGCTGCGGCCGGACATCACTGGTCCAGCTCGTTTTCATTCTGCAGCGTCTTCATGGCCAGCCCCCAGAGCGTCATGCTGGAGAAGAACTGCCCCTCGGAGTTCCTGTACGGCGTGGCGGCCCCGCGGCCGCCCAGCACATCGCCGCAGTGATTGTCCAGCGTGGCCAGGGACGAGCGGCCCAGGGACAGGCTGTCGGGCTGCAGCGGCGGCTCGCTGGCCACGGCGGCCACGTCCGGGTAAGCATACGCCGGAGGCTGCGCCGGCTGCATCGGAGGCTTGGCGAGTTTGCCGGGATCCAGCCTGAGCTTCTCCGGCTCAGCGGCTGCGGGAGGCTGAACCACGGGCCGGAACTTGCAGTAGGAGCCGGCGGAGGGGCCGTCAAACTCTGCCACCGAATCTTCGGCCGGCTGCACGGGGAGCTTGACCGACACGGGCATCAGAGTCACAGACACGTCTTGGGAAAAGGACTCCGAGCCCTGCGACTTCTCCAGGTCGGGGGTCTCGACGGCGTGAGCGAGCTCGTCGAGCACGGCCCGGCCCCCGTCGGGCCTGCAGTGCATCTTCTCGTGCCGCCGCAGCACCGCTGAGCGCGTGAAGCACTTGCTGCAGATCTCACACGTGTACGGCTTCTCCCCGGTGTGCGTGCGCACGTGCCTGCGCAGGTCGCCGGATCCCCCGAAACACTTTCCTGCAAAACCAACAGGCATCCTTTTAGAGGAGGACGTTCTCGCTCCCCCTTGCAAAACACAAGGACTCAGCGTTAGCGTGCGCGACCTCCAGCCCTCCTGTCACCGGCTCACTCCGGAAGGCTCCTCCGGTCTTCTCCAGCTGCGGCCCTCCAACCTGCAGCCTTTGGGTTGTGGGTCCCTCAGTGCGAGCCTTCGAGAGCCCCCGCGCCCCTGCCCAGGAGCGCCTCGCTGGTAAGCCCAGGTGCCTGCCCCTGCTGGCCCATGCTGGGAAACCTCGGCAGTTTTGCTTACGTTTTCTGAAGTCTAACACGGCCAATCTGTAACTTAGAAACATCTTTTTGCTTTTGATGTCATTTTACACATGCCTCTCCAGGTTCTAGTTCCTTTCCATGTATAGGACAGAGGGAGCGGGTCTACTTCCGTGATTAGAGTAGGTAAGGAGGTCAGAAGAGAACCACCAATAAATAACCTTACCAAACACATCACCTATTTACGGAGGACTGAGCACGCACCACGCAGTTAGGTGGACACATATTCAGAACTTCTCCCTTATCCGTGTGAACGCTCAGCTATCCTGCCCTCATCAGGCGGGGGGGGGGGGGGCATTAAAAAAACCGCACCTCTGAACAATCAAACTAGGCGTCCACACGCATGCGTTACGTTTTGGCACTTCTTCCCCACACAGGCTACCGAGGCACACCGTGGGGACTGTGTCTTCACGTCTACATCTTGTCTGCAGCGCCAGACTCAGCCTCCTTCACAGAACACCCCAGTAATAGCATTTTCACCGTTTGCTGTGCTGTCTACACAACATACGGTTCATACAGATAGGCGCTATTTCATGGACTCGAAGCTTCATAAGCATTCCTCCATCTGCTGCACGTTCGGGCGGTTTCTACCTGTTTGCTACTCTACTTCATCTTCAATTAACATCTTTCTTTTCACTGCTTCCTTAAGATAAATCCTCAATAGTGGAATTACTGGGCAAATGGGAATCATCTTTTCTAGGGTCCTTAAGGCATGTGAATTTTAGCCACAGTGGAGTTCCCACCAGTCAAGGCAGGGGAGCCAGACTTCACAGCCATTCTCACGGCAAGATGTGGCCCCTGTCTGGGAAATCCAGCGAGAGATAAATGGCCAGCTGTGCTGGTGACAGACAGGAGGGTCCTCATGCACGGCTGTGGCCCGAAGTCGCCGGGAGCACAGGATGCAGTGTTTCCATGGACCGGACAAGGGTTGTGCTTGCAAGCGAGCTGCCTGGAGCCATCCTCAAACCAGCCTAAGAGGACTGCCCAGAGGGGCGAGGAGACCCCAACTGAGAAAGTCTCCGGGAATAAACTGCTAGGACCCAGCGCTGGAGGAAAAATGCAGGTCTGTACCTTGGAAAGTGCAGAGAAATGCTGGGAAAGGAAGAGAGAGGAGGGAAGGAAATGGGGGGGCAGGGAGGAGAAATGGAAGGGGAGCTCTAGTCCCCAAAAAAGCCCAGGACGTGAAGCCACCTTAAAACTGAACCTGTCTGGGGCGCCTGGGTGGCTCAGTCGTTGGGCATCTGCCTTCAGCTCGGGTGGTGATCGCAGGGTCCTGGGATTGAGCCCCGCATTGGGCTCCCTGCTCAGCGGGAGGCCTGCTTCTCACCCTCCCGCTCCCTCTGCTTGTGTTCCCTCTCTCGCTGTGTCTCTCTCTGTCAAATAAATAAATAAAAAATCTTAAAAAAAAAAAAAAAACCCCCAAAAAACCTGAACCTGTCTTTTGAACTCGAGAAAATGAAAACACACCCACACAAACTATACACAAATGTTCACAGCGGATTTGCTAATTCAAAGAAGTCAGTTACGAAAGACCACATGCTGTAGGATTCCATTTATATGAAATGTCCAGAACGTGCAAATCCAGAGAGAGAAGGGCGCTTAATGGTTGCCTAGGCTGAGGCGTGGGAACAGGAAGTGACTGCTAGTGGACACGGAGCTTCTTTTTGGGGCGATAAAAATATTCTAAAATAGACCATGGTGCGTGAGGGTTGCACAACTCTGTGAATAATATACCAAAACCACTGACTTGATTACTTTAAATGGGCAAATTTCACGGTATGGGAATTTTACCTCAATAAAGCTGTTAAAAAATTTTGACCCTGTCCTGTAAGAATGAACATTCTTGTTCTCTTTTTCTCTCCCCCTGGCTGCAGGCTGACCTTGTCAAGGTCAGAAACCATGGTTAGTGAGGTGAGGGAAAGGGCTGGACGTGTAAGGTGGGGACGACAGGGCCCCCTCTGCTTCCTCCTCTACCGAGGTCTTAGCCAGCAGCAAGTCCTAGCCGAGGAGGGAAGAGGATGTTTAACCTCAAATCAAGTTGACAGCTGTAATGATAATTTGGAACCGACATTTAAATTAGTGACTTGAGACTGCATCTGTGATTTAAAGTAATACTACTTTATTTTAGAGAGTGCGCGCGCGCGAGCAGGGAGGAGAAACAGAGGGAGAAGGGAAGCAGATTCCGTGCTGAGCGCAGATCTCAGCATCCTGAGATCATGACCTGAGCGGAAATCAAGAGTTGGACACTCCACTGACTGCACTACACGCGTCCCAACACAATTTAATAGAGAGTAACGAGAATAGTCACGGAGCTGCTAAATGTGCATGCAGGAGATCGGTACACAACTTAAGCGGGAGAGGACAGTGAAGCTCTGCTGCGGTCACGCCCCAGAAGGCCCGCCCTGAGATGGCAGCTCCCAGGCAGGATGAGCCGCTCAGAGGCGTGCTCGGCTCCCGCCTCCCCACAGCTGGGCCCTGAACAGTCTCCCCATGCGTTCTAACCAGGAACCCAGAAACACGGGCACTCCCTCCCTCCTCCGTGACTCAGTTCGCGCTGTCAAGCACCTGTCACAGGCACACGCATACATGCGTGCACATGCACACCCAGTTCTTCCGAGGCTCAAACACTATGATCGGGGGTAGCGGGACTTAACTCCGAGTCCCCATTCCTCACGTGTGCAGCGATGCGCCTGGACAGTGAGGGCCACCAGCCGTGCCTCTCCTCCCGAGACTTCACTGCTCCATCAAATGCCCGCAGAAGGGACCTTTGCTTCCTAACACGGGATCTCGAGAAGCCCTCCCTCTTGACCCCGTCATGTGCTCTCGATGCTCCTGCCGGACGGTCCAGCCGCAGCCCCCATGCCGGCTCCTCAGGCTGCATGACGCCGACGCCCACTACGGTACACCACACGCTCCCACACTTTCCCAACTGTCTACACCCCACTGACCTGGGCCAGGAGCACGCAGCGCCTGGGACTCTGTCTCAGCTCTGTCCGCAGAGCACCTTACGACAGCTCTGGACACCTCACAGAAACTCACAGGCCTGCGAGAATGCAGGACTGACCGAGAGACTGCCACGGGAGGTGGTAAAGAAATCGCACCACCTCCATTTTACCTTTGAGAACAGGGATGATTTACCCACGACACCAAAACGGCCGATGGCAGAGCGGGTGCGGGGACCGGCACCCCACCCCCACCGGGGACGGCAGGGTGACCGCCCGCTGCGGGCCCATGGGAAACCTACCACAGGCAGAGCAGCTGTAGGGCCGCTCTCCCGTGTGCCGGATCCGGTGCTTCACCAGCTTCCTCTGCATGTTGAAGGACTTGCCGCACTCATCACAGGTGAAGACTTTATCGGCCGTGTGTGTCTTCTTGTGCTCCTTCAAGTTACTGAAGTTACTGAACCCTGGGGAGACCACAACAGATGCTCAGCGGAAGGACCGAGAACACTGCAACTGGCAGTCTTCAGGACAAAAAAGGGAAAACACGCAGCAGTACCTCGCCCACAGATGTCACACAAGTGTGGCTTCTCTCCTGAGTGAATAATGATGTGACGCTGGACATCGCCAGACGCTGCAAACCTGTAATGTAATTTGAAAATTCAATTATGAATTTCTTTCTACACTGTTGCAAATCTTTGTGACTGCAAGTCACTGAGGGAGGAAATGAACTGCTCCCTACATCCCTTCAGAATGTCATCAGAAGTGGCCCGATTCATTTGAAATGTGCACTTTAAAAATCTTTTTTTTCTTTTTTATTATTTACTTTTTTAAAGATTTTTTTGAGAGAGAGACAGAGATAACTATGGAGACAGTGAGAGGGAGCATGAGCGGCGGCCCTGCTCAGTGGGGAGGAGATGGAGAAGCAGGCTCCCCGCTGAGCAGGGAGCCCGATGCGGGGCTCGATCCCAGGACCCCGGGATCATGACCCGAGCCAAAGGCAGACGCTGAACCTACTGAGCCACCCAGGTGCCCCATCCCTTTTTTTAAAAGAAAGTAGAAAATGATGCAAGTGTTCTGTTTTTGTTTTTCTGCCTAGTTTCACCTTTCTTCTTCAAAGATGGTCAGCAGCTTGGCTCGGGGAGTAATTCCAAGCCAGGCTCTCCGATACAGAAATCTGTTTCCTTTCCTTTCCACCACACCTGATTGTATAACTGGTTCCATTTGGGAAAAGACGTTGCCTAGGGACATGATTTTAAACACATGCCTTACTTTTCAATGGCGTTCAGAAGGTTCCCATTTAAGACATCGTGTAAAACAAGGCCACAGTGAAGCGACAGGGCCACCTGAAGCAGCTGGGGGTCCACGCTACGAGGCACCAGAAATGAGCAGTCCGCGCTACCCCGGCACACAACGGGGTCGTCAGTGTTCAGGTGGCCACGGCAGAAAGGGAGACATGTCAGGCTAGGCAGCTCTTCTTTGTTTCCTCCCATCTGCAGAGACAGCAGGTTTTCCTGGACCTGAACAAGAGTTGCTTCTTGCTCTAGCATCCCCACGGCACGTGCTGCGCTGTAGTAGATGACTCGGACTTCAATTGTCCCATGTCTGTCTCTGCCCACCATTCTTGAGGATGACCTTATCAGAGGCAGAACCTGTACGTTTATTTCTGTGTTCCCCTCACAGCACTCAGCACCCAGTAGGTGCCAAAGACATGTTGAATGGTGAAGTAAATGGACGACTGAATCGCTGTGACTGGTGGCTGCCGCCTGAGCACGACCGCTCCATGAGAGCGTGTGGACTCCCGACAAATGACCCAGTGAGGGGAGGAGGGGTCCCCCCCCCACACACTCCATCACCAGGTCACAGCCCTGCCCAGCTCGGGGCACTTCCTCCAGCCCTCTCTCCTGATGCCCAGGCTTTCTGGCTGCCAAGTCTCATTTTCCCCACAAGAGAGTCACCTCCATGGGGACATTTATCTATGATAATAGACATTCTTGGAATGAATGGAAACTTTAGTATAAAATAATGTTGTTTCATGTAAAATCCCATTTCATAAGACTCGTGTCCTAGATTTTCTATTAATTAACACTTCTCTTTCTTTTTGTTCTTCTCATCATGTATCCCATGGAAAGCCGGAAGGTTTACCTGTCTTCCTCAGTGACAGAGGGAGCCCACAGGTGGCTCAGAGAACACTGAGTTCAAAGAGAGACTACAAGTTGATCCTTACAAATGGAAGAATAAGCCCAGCACTGACCTCTTTCCACAGATTTCGCAGATGTATGGTTTTTCACCAGAATGCCGACGTAAGTGAGTCTGCAAGTTACCTGCCTGCAAGAAAGCAGGGAAAGAAAAAGCATACCAATAATGAAAAATTTTCTTACAGGTCCTATAATTTAAAAGGAAAACTGACAGCTTGAACCAGGTCCCGGTCTAACTTTCCCAGTGAAGATTACATACGCACAACTCAAAAGTAGCCATGTGCAAGGAGATCAGGGACCAGCCTAAGTCTAACTCTGGGGAGTTTGCCTTGCCCAGCAGCCTGCTGAACACGGATGCGTCTCCATTCTGTGCCTGCCCCACGTGGGCCCCTGGCTTGTCCCACCTCAGGCGTGCACTGTGCTACTTCCCTCTGAAATGGGCCCGGCACACTGTGGAGGCCGCCGACCTTGTAGTTTAAACAGACCTTGGGATGCTTTATTGGGGTTTGTAACTCAGACCATCTACATGCAAGCATCTCCTGGGAAGGAAAAAAAAAAAAAAAGGAGCACCTGCAGGATTTCTTCCTTTTTAAAAACCTGCTTTTGCTCCTAGAGAAGGTGAGACACGTGCAAAGGGGCCTTCCTGCGGCAGCAAAGCTATTCTCCCGGACAGGGCTGTTTTTTTTTCACCTTTGTGCAAAAATGCACGTCAGGGGCTTCACAGTAGCTGGTTCACTGCAGGACCTTTTATGTTCCTAATTTCTGAAACTAGCAGGGCTTCCCAAAGAATAACTTATTTAAATGAAGATCACAAAATAGATTTCTATGTAATAATCAATAGGAAGTCAATAGGAAATTGCCTAAAGTACACTGAAATTAAAACTGCAATTGCCTCGTATTAAAAAAGCTCCTGGCTAATGTTTCAAATTAGGATTTGAAAACAAAATCCTCCGTTGCTGGAACTTAACTTAATAGACTCAATCTGTCATGTCCCCTGCCTACTTTTTTATAGTGTTCTGTTACAAAAACACTGAAATGAATGAATGTACCCAAGGGTAACATGTGCAGTCATTATGCACTATTTTAGCCAAAAAGGGAGAACGAACAGTAACACCAACTAACAAATTTGGCTTTGTAAATCTGCCAACTTGATTTTAAATAAAATGCAGACAGTTCATGGCTATGGATTTGAAGATGGTCTGAAGTCCACATGTGCGTGGAAACTTACAAGCAGAGAGTGCGATCTGGGGGTTTTATGTCACAGAACATGGAGATTCTCTGTGTCAGGCTCCAGGAAATCACCAAGTCAGATATTATCTTTCAGAATACAATAAATATGGCTTAGGAAAAACCCAGATTTATTTCAGATAACGAAAGGGAAAGAATCTGGCAAAACACTGGGAAATCCCCATATTTTAAGAAAATGACTAATGACAACAATAATAAAACAACTGTCAAGAGCAGTCTGGTCCTTACACGCATCACCGAACCACTCTTAGTCACTGCTAGATCACCTCTCTTTTCCAGATGAAAGACTCAGATTCAGATAAATAAAACAGCTTCTCCCGTTACAGGGTTGGGCCAAATACGAACTTTGGTTTGTGTGAGTCTACACTCTCACGAGTCTCTGAGAATCAGCTAGCTTGTGCTGACGATTCAGTACAACAGTCACTTGGGAAACAGCTCACTGGAGGTAAGATAATGCACTACTGACTGTTTTAAGTCAGTCAATTCCAAATTCCAGAAAAGCACATCAATTATGTAACAATTTGAATAGCACCATCTGCTCATCTGTTAAATTAGGTCCTTCTTGTTTTAAGTTATTTTGTAAACGATGTATCATGACTGAAATGTGTTTTCACATTGATTCTCTGAGTCAATTCTTAGCACTGCTGCATCCTTTCTTGTTAAGTAAAGCGTAACAATTACTTGTTTTCAAAGCAAGTAGCAATGGCCTTCCACTTAAAATAGTGTAATAAGCAACAGTAAAACAAACCCTTGAAAAAAATTTTAGCTACTTAATATCAGAAATTAGTATCAGAAAGGTACAATGAAAATCTTCCACCAGCTAGAAGGATCTGACCAATGGTATAAAAGTAGATTAAATACTGAAACAGTCAGGCAAAAAAAGTCCAATAATGCTGTCATTGATTTATGCCAAATTACATAAGCAAACTGGGAGCCTGATTATTTGGTCTTTAGTCAAGTATCCATACTTTTGGTGAACTCTGACTTACTCTAGTACTAAGTACCTGCTAAGTAGCTAGTCCACATCTTGGAGATTATCTATAGCTGGATACGCGACCGCTATCGATCAATAAGAGACCACCAGGAAGGAAGTACTCTGCTAGGTATCTGCAGATAACGCCACAATTCCCTTACAAAGTCGCAGTGTCGCATTTTACCGAAAAGTGAACCGATGCTCTGGGAAGGAAGTAATCAGCCCAGGCTCCTACAGGTGGGATCAAACACCCCGACCCAGGCCCGACTGTGGTCTCGAAGGCTGGCAGTGCTGCCATGCTGTCTGTTATGTTCCAGAATATTAGCAGGAAAGGGGGCTCTGCTCCTTCCAAGCAAATATTTTAAATTAGGAGGGAGATGTCAGGATTTTTCAGAGAAAAACTCTGCTGGAGAAAAGAACTAATATCTGATTTGTTGAGTAATTTAAAAAATAACTCCTAATATGTACGTGAGCATCTGTATTTAAACCTGGACAAACCAAGCATATATTCTCTATCAGAGCATTCTTCTAAAGACAGCAGATTATTTCCAGGAAAAATAGCCAAGGAATCATACCATTTTCAACATAAAAGGAATCTCAGATCTTTAAAGTCATCTAGTTCAGGAGTCTGGGGGCTTCAGGATTTCACAAAATAAAATTAACAGGGAGAAAGAAATCTGGAGATGAACATGGATCTGTCACCTAAACGGCAATGATCATTCTACTGGATACTGGGAGTGTGGGGGTACCACCTCAGGGCCGGAAGTCTCACGACTTACGAGAAGTTCACTGAAACACTCTGACTTCCGCATGTTCCCTGTGGTGCCAGGCTGTGCCAGTGCCCTGGGGAGCACATCCGTTTCCAGGCGGGGCTCCAACACGGCTGTGCCCCCCAACCCCACCCCATACCCCATGTCCTGGGCCTGGGGCACCCCTCTCTGACAGCACCGCCAGAAGACACTGCACCAGCCCCTCAAAGTGTCCATTTCTGCCTCTTTGGAGAGACCAAACTGCTCTACTCTCCCAAAGCCAGCTCAGTGCCCCCAGGTGTCATCCTCTCATTGCTCACATCACAGGTACGCAGACCTGCCCCCTCCTTCCCTCTCCTCTGGGGGCACCCACCGGTCCAGGTTCTACTCCACGCGGGGGCCCTGGCACTACGGACGGAGCCTCACTCACACTCTAAAGTACGCAGGGCTCCCGAGGGCTGAGACCGCGCACAGACCGTGTCCAGAATGATGTCAACGGATGGACAGTCTGTTGTGACAATCTCGGATTATGGTAGTTTCTCGAAGCTCACATACCATATGCTTACACCTCATCATCAAGGTTGTGGTTAACTTTTATTTTTCCCCAAGACTGACCCTACTAAATATAAATTAAGTAAATAGCATAAAAGATGTATTCTCATTGGTAATCTGTTTTCTTGCTTTCAAGTCTTCCAAAAGGGAAAATACTTACAAACTCACTTCTACCAAAGCAAATAGGGCCGCAAGAGCATGGGAGCTTTCCAATCCAGCATAACCACAAACATTCACTCCATTTCCTTCAAAGAAATGAACACCTGGCTTAAGGTGAAGGATGGTTAGTGGGCACTGCTTACAAAGTATCCCCATATAAACCACCTGATAGCTCTCTTGTCCTAGAATTTCCAGAGACCCCCAGGCTTATCAAATGCCTGCTTGTCTTTGGGGCTGACCTAAACAATCTCTTAACACATTTCATGTCCTCACCCACCCCAAACACCACTTCTTCCAGGCAGAAATGACCACTCTCTTTCTTTGCCCATACTGCTCCCTATGTATACTTCTCCAGCTCATGGCAGAGCTCCTTGGACACTGTAGGCTCGCAATAAACACTTGCTGAATTTTTTTCAAAAAGGTCCTTGTTCACAAAAAATTTCACAATTTCGCTATGAAATAAACAGCAATATACATCTGAAAACTGCAACTATACATAATCCTACATTCACAAAAATCTGACAAAAATACAGACAACAGCACAGAGGAGGATTTCAGTGGTGTGTCTGTCAGTCGGGGCTGCCCCTGATGGGACTCAAGAAGGCAAGTGCAGGACAAGGTCTGGGCAGTGGTCCCCAAACTTAGCGGCACACTTCAGAAACGCTGTAATAATCAAGCCCCACCCCAGAGCAATGGAATCAGAATCTCCAAAGAGGAGGGTGGGGCTTGGCCTCGGTGCCGGGAGAGGAGGCTGAAGGCTGACTACGGATGCCTGAATATCTGGTTTTCTTTGATTAGCAGTGAAGAGTCACAGAAGGCTCCCAGGCAAGGAGGACAGAACCTACACTGTTACCACATTTTAAATGGATAAAGGGCTTTCATGTCCATTGTTCCATTCACTGCTCCTAACACTCACATGAGGCAGTACATCCCTGTTGTAAGAATTAGAAAAATGAGGCCCAGAGAAGTTATGGTTGCTAATTATTAATTGTCATTAGTCCAGGCCTTCGGCTTTTCCCCACCCCAAAGCTGTAAGGTCAGGATGGTGGTGGAAGACCGGTCTGCAAGAACAGAGGGGCCGGCACCAGGACAGGAAACAGTGATGCCCCCTGAGCACTAACTACGTGCCAGGCAGGAGTTCGTACTCCTACCGACTCAGGTAGTCCCCACACACCGGCTGGGCTCAGTCATCTCATCTCCCTGGTTTTACAGACAAGGAAGCTGAAGTGCCAAAAGGTGAGGCTGCTTGCCCGAGGTGACTGAGTAGCAAGCCAGGGGCAGGATCCAAATGCACACCACCCGGCTCCACAGCCCCAGCTTGGAAGCCCCGGGCGAGGCTGCAGCGAAGAAGCGAGGCCTCAAGTGCATGGCAGCTGGAGGGGTGAGGAGCCCCCCTCAGCTCTGCAAAAACTTACTGAACATTTAGTGGGTGCCAGGTGTCCTCCTGATGGCAAGTATGGACTAAAGACGCAAAGGCAGAGGTTAGGACTTGGTCAGTCACTGCACGCAGGGAGCCGCAGGCGTGAGAAGTCACCAGAGCACAGGTCTGGGTGCGTGGGAGGGTGAAGGGGACACTGGGGGAGAGTTGCCTCCGTGGGGAATGTGCCTGAACACGGCGCTGCCACTGAGTTTCTGTGCTCTGGGGAGGGCCTGCCGCCCAGCCTTTACCAGCCTAGGGGGCTCTACTCCTGGATCACGGCCCAGCCCGGAGTCCCTGCGCCAGGGAGCAGCGTCCGCAGGAGGTGCTATACTACGGGGTCCAGCGTGCCCGTCGCCCGCCGGATGTAATAACAGCCGTGCAGTGGCTGCTTCGCGTGCACCTCTGGAATGCCAGGGCCCGGCACGGGGCAGAGCAAGTCACCTCCTCCTACTTCAGGAGCAGGTTCCCACCGGGCTACAGCCAACATTTTCTCTAAAACATGAAATCTCTAGGTTTCTTTATGTCCAGTGCCCAGATCAGCACACGGCCCATGGGAGGGTGCAGCACACGCAGGCTGGATGAGAGAACTCATATATGTCCAAATGAGCTATGGGAGGTCAGCCAAAGGCAGTCCGAGCGGGAACGAGAACTGCTCGCTCTGTTCCCCACCTCCGAACAACCTTGGGCCGCTAAGAGTAAGACGCCATGTGTCCTGGATGTAGCCCAGCCGTGTGCAGACTCTGGATGTGCGCTCGCTGTGGTTCACCAGAAACTTCATTCGTGAAAGAGAAGAAATATACTTGGAATGGACCCATCTTTAAGGGGGTCGGGTGGGGGGAGCTCACACACTTACAAAAAAATGTTACTTTTCCCCCAATGAACTAAAAATGTGTTTTCTTGAAAATTATTTTCTCTTGATTTAGTGTGAAGTCAAAGTTACAGATACCATCAGAGGCTTCTCTCTTAAGTCCGAACGTATGTCTTTTTTATAATAATAATGATAATAATAATAATAATTAAAAAAACACTGGGTTTCAGGTTTCCAATTATTAACAGTAAATAAGAGTATTCCCACCTGAGAGAAATGTTTCCCACAAATGTTACATTCAAAAGGTTTCTCACCTAAAACAAAACAAAATAACAACTTGTAAAATCATTAGTCATATTTGCACGATTATTTTGCTTAAAATGTTCAAACTGTCTCCCATGTTCTTTCAAAAGGGAGCGTCATGTTCTTTATCTGAGTATGAAAATGGGCGGTCTCTACATCCTTATAATTCTCTCTGGCTCTTAGACAGCGAGCAGAGATGATCAGCTCAGCAGCAGCATCTTATTCACCTGCCCTTCAGCCTGACACCTCTGCCACCAACTTGTGACACCATGAGGGTGACTCATTCACACCACACGAGGTATACACATGGAGGAGCCCAAAACAGTGTGCCAGGGAGAAGCCCCTCTCCACTGCCTTTCAGCCTTGGCTGACACACACTAATGGGGAAAACAAGATTTCAGCACGGGAGATGTGCTTCCCTGCCCACTTCTCTCTCACCTCTGATTTTAGGAACTCTGAATAACTGTGTTCCGGAATAGAACAGATGCAGAGTGGACTCCGCTATGAAGAAGCCACAGCAGCTCGGAATAGTCTCTAGAACACGATCTGTTGAAAAGTGTACTTCTAGGTACCACCTTTCACCCGTAAAACACTTTTAGGCCTTGAAGATCAAGAACCTTCCTTTTTCCCCATTCCCCTCAAATCAAGTGGTTTCATTCAGATTCTTTTAAAAAATTAGCGTTTCCCTTCTTACTGTGTTGCTCGGGTTTGCCACCTCACTAGCTTTCTGAGCTCTTGCCAGGACATTTTCATGTTGATCTTTTCCTAAAACTGTTTAAGGCTTCCTCAAGGCCAAGGCGGAGGTTTTGACCCTGAGCAATTATAATCACATGAATCCTGTATTCAGTGACTACATTTAGGTCTGAAACTATGGGGATAATAGATAATGTTAAGTGAAAGCCCCCAGTATAAGTTACAACAGTTTGAAAAAAAGAGGCCACCGGTCACTAAGACTCACACGTGTGCAGGGTCAGTAACCCTACTGTTGTGGTTCTCAACCTTTTTGCTCTTAGGACCCCTTCACACTCTTAATAATCAAGGACCCTAAAGAGCTGTTGTTGACATAGGCTGTATCTGCTGGTATAAGTCATAGCAGAAATGAAAACAGCGACCAAACATTTCATTGGTCACCAGAGTAGCTGGGTGGCCTTTAGCTGACTCCACTACACACTTGTGGGAGAAGTAAAAGGTGGCAAGTAATGTCACAGACTATGCTGGAAACAGTATGGGCCTCAAAGACCCCCTGAAGGGGTTCTCCAGACCATAATCCAAGAAGTGCTACCCTTCTCAGTTTCTGTCCCAGGAAACATCTGTGCCATGACTGTATGACTACGGGCATCCAAAGATGTTCCTTCAGGACAAACAACGTAATTTCTGTTTCCTTTAAAGCTAACTAGATAGGTTTCTCAAATAAAAATTCTAATGATCATTCAGCTCTAGGAAAGTTATGCAAACAAAATGACCTAAATCAAGTTTTTCCAGGGCGAAACTGAGTCAATGATACTGCCTTCATATAAAGTAATTCCGAACTGCCCCTCCTCCTCCATGACAGCACTTATGTTTAAATACATTAAAACTTATGAAGGGCTTCCATCTGTATTAAGTCTCTCAATAATACAAGAGGTAGCAAACACCTACGCAAACAGGGAATCCAAAGTGGTAACAGAATGTCAGGTCAGCAACCACAATTACATAAGCACCGTAAAGCGGTCACGCTAGAGACTTCCTTTAGAGACATCTCATGCTTCTAACTGTCATTAATTTATTACATGTATTAGAGTCATCAAGTTTAACCACAAGAAGGAAAGTAACAGGGGCGCCTGGGTGGCTCAGCCGTTAAGCGTCTGCCTTCGGCTCAGGTTATGATCCCAGGGTCCTGGGATCGAGCCCCGCATCGGGCTCCCTGCTCAGCGGGGAGCCTGCTTCTCCCTCTCCCTCTCCCCCTGCTTGTGTCCCCTCTCTCACTGTGTCTCTCTCTGTCAAATAAATAAAATCTTTAAAAAAAAAAAGAAGGAAAGTAACACATAAGTATTGCGTCATGTAACGTGTATGTACTATGTAACACCTTCAAATGAGCACCTGGAAAAATAAACTTTTTGGAAAGGGGACGAGGTATGAATTAAGGTAATAAGGCTTTGAAAATTCAATGTTCAAAGAGGAAGAATCTTCATTTGAAAATATCAAATAGTTAAAGCTGATCCTTATTAAAAAATTTACCTCCTCCCAAACCACAATTTAAAAAAATCTGATAGGAAAATTACTTCCCAGAGAACTTTTACTATTACTCTTATTTCAGTCTGAATGGAACTGACAATTATCATGCTTTAAAAAGATAAACTTACTTTAATTCTAAAGAGCAAATAGAACTTATCCGCTTTAGAATATATTTGAAATTTTCAGTGCATCAAAACAATTCACTCCACTTCTTTAGAGATGGAAACCTTATCATATAAAACCATAATTAAAAACGAAAAATGTGCCATCTTTTTAAACCAGTTCTATGACAGCATCTACAGAACTTTGAGATTATTCTTTAAAATAATCACCAAAAACATAAGAAGCAGCTAACGCTCCTTGATTTGGGGGGAATTATCGATGACGTCATCAAGCAACAGCAAAACTTCTTACAAAAGCAGGAGTAGGTCGTGGTGTCTGATCGTCTGCACCATCTCCTTTCCTTTTGCCTGTGGGTACTGAATCAGTGTACCTGTATGTGACCGTCTGTGAAGCTCCAGATTGCTCGGGTGTTTAAAAGGTTTCCCACACAATTCACACGTGTACTGTCTCTGTGACTGAAGCATCTGGGACTGGTCCTCCAGCGCCGCAGGCTCTTCGGGCCTCTCCATTTCGTTAGTGCAGTTAAAACGCTCAGAAGTGACGAGTTCTTCACCTTCTTTTTCCTCAGCACCGTGGCTGGTGGCTTTCTCTGTAGTATTTGCACTAGCACACTCCACCCTCTTCGTTAAGCCGTCACCCAGCTTGCCTTCGGATGGCTCCTCTGCAGATTTCTGGGACTTGAGGAAATTTAGCTTCTTAAGGTGAATGGCCTTTTTGAGCCTCATCTGTCTGGTGGGTGGTTGGCACAGGTTGTCTGAGTCAGGGTCTGGGGCAGATTCACTCAAGGGCTGGGCCAGGAAGTGGGAAGGCAAGTGCTCCGAAGACTCCAGGACACATTCGGAATGACTGCCGGCACAAGGCTGGTTGTCGCCGGCACCGAGGTCCGCGGCTGTGCTGAAAGTGAAGGGCTGCTCATTCACCCTCTCGTGACCAGGACACGCAGCCTGTTTGTAGTACTGCTTGCTGTAAAAGTTTCTGAGTTTGTAGTAGTAACTCGGCTGTCTGAAAGGCAGCTCTGGGCAGGCGCCATCCAGCGTGTCGGGCGCCTGTTGGGATGCCTCCCCTGCAGACTGATGGAGATTAACGGACGGTGGAGCGTGAGAATGTGATTCATCCAAAACCTTACTCTGCTGAACATCGGTGGGACACTCTTGCAGCAAATGAGGAGGGTAGTTTTCACTTACTGCACAGTGCGCATCGGCAGGCGGGGTGCTCTGCAGGGAGAACGCGCTGTTACAAGACACGCCCGGGGGCTGTTCCACAGTGGTGGACTTCAAAAATGTGTGACACAGGTTCAGAACATTTTGAACTTGCAAACACTGTGCTATGTCCAGCATTACTTGGATATTATCCTGGTTAAGATCTAAGTGAGAAGTGTACATGAAGTCCAGGATCTGCCCAATGCCGCTTACATTTTTAATATCCAAGTGAAAAACATCACTTTTTTGGCCTGAAGAGTTCTGAAAGAGGCTCCTGATAAAAGAAAGATTATGGTATGATAATTTTTTTCTTATAAATAATGCTCATGATACCATTAAAAAATACTATCCTTCTATAAATGCCACGATTTTAAAATTGGTATATTTCAATCCTTTAAAAAATTTTGGTAAGCCATTCAATAAAGCAACTCAGATGAATTAGCGTGCTGGATATCTAACCTTCCAAACAGATCTCAAAGTAAAGTTCTAAAATACACTCACTGTTCTTTTAAAATGTAATTATTCATATATATTACTAACTGCATACAGAGTATAATATAGGATATTACAGGACACATTTTTCAGTATTTCATGTCTAGCTTGGCAAATTATATTTCAGGCCATAAAACACGTAACAAAAATATTTCCATATCTAAGTGCCTTAAACATGTCTAAAAATAAAAATAGTAAAATAAACCAACATTTGATACATTCATTTTTTTAATTTTAATTTTTTAATTGTGGCAAAACATACGTATTTACCACTTGATCCTTTTTTTTTTTTTTTTAAGTGGAGCCCAATGCAGGATTTGGATTTGCAACCCTGAGGTCAAGACCTGAGCTGAGATCAAGAGTCGGGACGCTTAACTGGCTGAGCCACCCACGCACTCCACATTTGATCCATTTTTAACTGTTTAGAAACTCTGTACTTAAATACAGTTCAAACTGTCAATTCAGTGGCATTAAGTACATTCACACTGTTGTGTGACCATGACCACCAGCCATCTACAGAATCTTTCCTCTTCCCAAACAGAAACTCTGTCCCCATTAAACAGTAACTCCCATCCTCCCCCCCCCCCCCGCCCCTTACAACCACCATTCTACCTTCTGTCTCTATGAACCTGACAGCTCTAGGGACTTGAGATACACTCATTTTGTAATCTGACCTGTTAGAGGTTTCTCAGCAGTGAGAAAAAGAACAGGCCTACGAGTTAATGAGGGGAAGGGGGCACCATGCAGCCCAGGTACTTTATTCTGGGTACTCATCGAGTTCCAGGTGAACGAATTTGTACTGCATATAAACTAGCAAGCTGACTTAGGTAACTGGTCTTGCAAGTTTGTTGAAGACATCTTATCTAATGGGATCACCTGCTTTCCCCAAACAGCCTTCAGCTTTGTTCTTACCTAAAGGGAAGAACACATTAAAAAGGGGTAGGGAAAACCAAGTCTGGGACCAGGTTGCATGGGGACAAATAGTGCTGCCACCTCGGTGAGCTGACCCGTTATACTATGTACTAGGGCACACATGAGAGCTGAGTTAGTTTAACTGGATGATTCAAGATTATCAAGGCAAGATGAAATCACGTTCCATATATTGTTCACTAGAGCAGTAAAATGGTATGCATTTTAAGGGAAAAAAAGGTATTAAAAAAAGAAGCTTTAGTGCTTCGAGAGATAAATCTCAGCTAACCAGAAAATATATGTAAAATACTTAATTCTAATAATCCAAAAATGATTATATTAATAAGTAAATTGAATTCAAACTTATTTTCTTAGGATATTCAAATGAAAAACACTAAAATATTTTAATAAAAAAATAATACATAGGATGTTTCCCCTCTCCGATTTCTTTTTTTTTTTTTTTTTAAAGATTTTATTTATTTGTTTGACAGAGAGAGACACAGCGAGAGAGGGAACACCAGCAGGGGGAGTGGGAGAGGGAGAAGCAGGCCCCCCGCGGAGCAGGGAGCCCGATGCGGGACTTGATCCCAGGACCCTGGGATCATGACCTGAGCCCAAGGCAGACGCTTAACGACTGAGCCACCCAGGCGCCCCCCTCTCCAATTTCTTATCACAAGAAAGTTCTTACCAGGAATTCTACTCCTCAATCTTTTTATCCTGAAAGGATAAGAAATATATAGAGAAGACTGACATTAATTAGAACTATTAAAATCAAAGACAGAGTGCCAAAATACATTCAATCAGCCCAAATATATTTTAGTTAAAAGGCTCTTTTCCTCTCCGGTAACTCTAAATACAAAAAGCAAAAAATCCACAATCTGCTACAAAGATAAGGACAGTGAAATCCAAGGAGAAAAGAAAATTTAGTCAAAATATATCCATGCTAGAAGAGCTTCTCCTCCGTACAGTTAGAAGAACAGAGCGTAAAATACGTACCTAAAATACTGACTGAACGCTGCCAGAACATTCTTATGTGCTTTAAAGCACACCCCTTTCACGACCAACATGCAGTCACAAAGCAGGCCTTGAATGCGCTGCTCGTGCAGCTGCTGGAGAAGATGGCAGCCGTGAGTAGCGACTGGGTCCATGCTCAGCCACCCAGGAGACCTGCAGCAAAGAACGTGAATGAGAGACTGAGATTCGGCGATACGACTGGCAATTATGGCTCCGGAACCCACTGATTGACGGGCAGCTCGTGGTCATGATTCCTTGTTGGTCACACTTCAAACAAACCAACAAAAAACCCACAAAAACTTTGTGTCTTGGGCATCAGACCAGTGCTGGTCAACAGAAACATCTGCAGTGATGGAAATGCTCCGTATCTGCACCGTTCAGTACAGTGGCCACTGAGCACTTGAAATGTGGCTAGAGTGACTGAGGAACTAAACCTTTAATTTATTTAAACAGCCACTGTATCTGACAGTGCCAATGTAGAATACGACCACGCTAACGCTACGTGCACTTCTCTTGTTTCTACTCAGGAATGGTTCAATGAAAACACACAGACACCTGAAGTTAGAAAAAAATCAACTGGATGAGATCAGTCAATATTTATGGAGTACCCGTACGTGGGGCACTGAATTAGAAGGTGGGAAAATTGGGAGCTTATTTAGGGAGATAAAAAGTCAAAATAAACTAGCACCACTAGAAAGTAATAAAAGAGGCATCACAAAGCAGCATATCGGCTCATTTGTTCCCATTTTTCCCTGGATTTATTTTAGAGAGAGAGATCGAGAGAGCACACAGGAGCAGGCGGAGAGGGAGAAAGAGAATCTCAAGCAGATTCCCCACTAAGTGTAGAGCCTGACATGGGGCTCAACGTGGGGCTCAATCTCACAACCCTGAGATCATGACCTGAGTCAAAACCAAGAGCTGGATGCTTAACTGACTGAGCCACCCAGGCGCTCCATACTCATTTGTTCCTTCGTACCTCTCTGCTAAGGCACTGCTGTAGCAGAGACCTGTCTTGCAGGTACCCTGGGCAGAAAGACTAGAAAGCATAAGGTGCCTACTGTGCTTGAGGGTGCTGAAGCCAAGTAAGTGTAGGACATGACGTATGAGTGTGTGTGTGTGTGAGAGAGAGAGACAGAGAGAGAAGATGAGAGGATCAATATAGAAGGGATCACGTCTATTCAACATCTATTTATTGACTGACTACCATGTGCCAGGTACTAGGGCTACAACAACAAACAAAATATGCCAGGTCCCCACACTCATAAAGGAAACACACACACACAAAAGTACACGACACACAACTAAACAAATACAGGAGCACAATCCAGTGAGATATAGTTACGGGAAGAAATGTAGTGGGGAGAAATGAAGTCAGACTGGGAGAAGCCTATGGAGGCTAATGTGGCAGTTTGGTACAGTAAAAACCTAAAAAGCCATTATCTGCTTTATTTGCTTTCATCCTCGGTGCATAAGCATTATTGAAAAAGCCACTAAACCACAAAGCCAAAACCTAAGCTTTTTAACCCGGCTCCTTCTTCTCTATCATTACCACCATGACCATCACCAGCATCACCATGACCATCACCAGCATCACCACCACCTTATCCCCCACTGTGCCCACTACGTGTCAGCCAAAATAAACTACCTGCACCTCCTTAAACAAGCTGTACTGGGGACAGTTTGGAGCCCTAACCCACTGCTCACTACCTGCATGACTTTGGGCAAATGACCACTTTCCTCATCTTATCTCACGGGTTACTGACACAATTGTGAGAGCCCATGTGAACATCTAGTATAGCAACTGACATTAGGTATTCAACAAATGTTATCTATAAGGAACACCTGGAAAGCCTGTTAGAAATGCAGATTCCTGGATACCATCAAGAGTTCTGCTCAGTCTAGCATGGGATGTAGGCACCTGCACTGTAAGCATCCAGGTAATTGTGAAGCAGGCAGATTACAGACCGCTGCCTTACTCTCTCCCCAGAAAGCCTTTGGTTCTGATACCTCCTGTCCTGGGAATACTAAGGCCCACTCCCCTACCAGGGCTCAGCTGAGCTGTCAACAACTCCTAGAAGCCTTTCCTGCCATTTTGAAATTTGTTCCTTCTTCCCCACTGTTCCTTCCTCGAGTCTGACTCTGGGGTCCCTCCTCTGCGATCTTATAGCCCCATACATACTTCCACAAGACAACTTCTCATTATGCTCCATCATCTGCGTCTCCAACTCTGCTGTGAGCTCTGAGGGGACCATCTTATTCATCTTTGCATGGCACACAGCAGATACTCGACCATTAAAATCCATGCGAGCTAACCTCTGTTGCTAATTAGCAACAGTTAATGTTTATGTCTTTTTCGACTCCCTCTACACTCTCACAACAGCTCTTCTGAGTCCTTTCCGGTCTCTTCAATCCCACCATGTCTGTCTCCCTCATCCATAAAAGTGACTGCAACCCGACCCTGACTCCACTAAGAAGGTTGAGCCCACAGACAACTTGATATAACCTGAGTGCCTTTAAATTCTTTTCTCAGTTCCAAATTTCTCACTCATCCCTCCCTCAATCCCTTCAGCTTCACAGGATGAAGGGTACCTTCTCTTATGCAAAGCCAACTTCCCTTCTCCCCTTGACCCCACCCAGCCTGCCTCCCCCAGGACTTGGTTTCATCCTCAGCTCTTGTGCTGCTTCCCTCTGTCCCCGACCTACCGGCTCACCAGCTCCTGCAAACACCAAGACAAAACAGGACAACAAAATCCTCCTGCTAGGTACATCTATTCATCATAGGCCTCTCTTTTACGCCTCTCAAAACAGCAACTCCACATCCCACTTTACCTTTTTTATAAACTTTTTCAATTTAAATTCAATTAGCCAACATATAGTACATCATTAGTTTCAGATGTAGAGTTCAATAATTCATCAGTTACTTGTAACACCCAGTGCTCATCACATCATATGCCCTCCTAATGCCTGTCACCCAGTTACCCCCCCCACCCAGTTTACTTTCTCTCGAGTCCTTTTCCCCTTGTAGTCTTGCTGCCATTCTCACCCTGCTGCAACACACGTGCCCACAGTGGCCTTTCCTCGGTCCCTTCTCCCCAGCTGTGCTGCAGCATGTGGAGTATGGTCTGCCCAGCTCGACATCCTCTCTCCCCAGAACCCTTCGGGTCCTCTTACTACGGCTCTGACCTGTTCCATCTCTATGCTGTGCTCTGCGAGCCCCCAAATGTTAATGTCCCTTAAGATTCAGCCCCTGAGCCTTCTCTTTCCCTTGACAATCACACCTACTCTCAGCTTTCACCTGTTCTAAGCAGACAACTCCTAAATGTGAAACTTTAGCTTTGACCATCACTTCCACATTTCCAACTTCCTGCTAAACGTCTACAACTGTACGACCCCTCAACTTTGAATCTCTAAAACTTACCCCCATCATCTCAGCCCCAGCTCTACACCTTATTCTGAGTCCCCTATTTCTTTATGGAAAGCTTAGTTTCCGATATGCAAAGTTTGGAGCATTGGCACGATCTCCTGGTTTGAGATCAGGGTGGGATGCAAGGAAAACTGGTGATATCACCTACAGAGAATAACATCAGCCAACACAAGAATACAGAAAGGGAAAGCATTATGTCAGGTGGTGGGGCACCGTCCCGTGTTGAATCCTCAAGGGAACTGAAGAGCCAAATGATGGAGCAATCAGGTACCTACCCTGTCCCATCGGTGGCTTGAAAAGAAAAGGATTATTGGCTTATTCTTATTATCTCTCATTTACTATTCACTATGGGTCAGAAACCGTGCTACGCACATTCTATCCATTAACTCAAACAATGCTACCAGAAGCCTATTATCACCATTTTATAGGTGAGGAAATTAAGAAATGGGGAGTTTAAGTACCTAGCCCAAGATTATGGAACTACTGTGTTCCAAAGCCAGGATTTAAAGCCTGGTTCCTAACCGTGGAGCCCATGCTCTTGGGCTATGCTATGGCCCATGAGAAAAAGAACATTAAAAAGACAACACAAAACCGTCCTCTACAGACTTAAATGCTAAACTACAGCAAATATTCTGAATCTGCTTTAGACATTTTCCAGCCCTATAGAAATAACATGCACAATTATGAACTCTTCCACAGTTTATGCTGACTGTAAAAACCTTAACTCTTTCACACTACTTGGTATAGTTCTCTAACGGCTTCATGACGTCAATCCTGTACCTTCCCAACAAGATTACAGAGAGCTCTGGAAAAATAATTTACGTCTTATATTCCTCGTGTGTCCTATGAATAACAACTACAAATAAAAATGTATCATGAACCTAAGATCAATAATAATAAGTGGCACATATTTATAAAATGCTTCTAACATGCTAGCCAGTAGGCTAAGCCCTTTACCCATATCCTTTTAATTCTCACGCTCATTTCATACTTAATTCACACTCATTTAATTCTCATGATAAACGCAGGATAAATACTACTATTATCCTCATTTTGTAGATGAAGACAATGAGGTACCTGGAGAATTAAAGACAGGTACAACTCTGACATTCCGATTCCAAGGGGAGGTGGGATCTAGGTCTCTCCTGCCTTGAATCTGAGCAGCCTCTGCCTTAACCAATGGAACAGGCAAAAGTAAGGGTGCAAAACTGTCCTCATTTCTGGGCTGAGGCCCTAAGAGCTGAGAGCTGCCACTGTCTGTCTTCTGGAAGAGTGACTCTGGAGGCCTGAGTCAGCTGTAAGGCGCCCAACTGGGGAGAATCCGTGGCACCCAAGAAGGACTCAGCTGAGCCCAGCCTTCCAGCCCCCCTACCCAGGTACCAGATATGGGAACAAAGCCACACACACCAGCGGAATATCATGCAGAGCTGAAGAACAGCCCAGTGGAGCCCTGCTTGAATTCCTGGCCCACAAAACTGTGAGATAAAATAAATTTTTGAGTCACAAAGTTTTGGGGTAGTTTGTTGCGATGCAAGAGATAACCTGACCAGGTACAGAGAAGACGGACACAGCTAATAAGTAATAGTAAGAGGCAGAGTCAGGATTTAAACCAAGGGAATGGTTCCAAAGCCCACGTGCTTAACCACTACTCTGAGTTACATGTGACAGACGAAAGGCCTTCCTTGGATCAAATCAGCTGCCCCTTCAGTCTACCACCCATGTGTGACTG